AACTATTTGAGTTAGTTCAGAGCCGATTCTTCTGTCCTGATGTGTGTGATTGCAACGTTGGTTTTAGTTAAGGACAATGATGATCTAGGAGGTTTTTCACCAAATAAGGAATCAGTCGATGCCAGAATCCTCCCAGAAAATACGTGGCGGATGCTGCTTGACCTTAGTGTTGTAGTTCCTCGAGACAAAGAGGGAACTGCAATCTCTGTGCATGCTGTGTCAAATGAGTGAGCAAATTGCAACAAAATCATATAGTTTGCATTTCCATTTTACATTAAGCACAAATTCAATGCACTTTGCAGAATTCCTGCTCTCTTTCCTTAAATTCTGATTTCCTACTGATCCCCGAAGCTCACTGGACAAGAGAGAGGGTGGGGCTCGGAAACCAATGGTTTGCAAAGAAACTGAACAGCAGAGAAATTTTATAACTGAAGGTCATATTATCATAAACGATATATTCACCACAATACATGCAAAGGAAAATAATAATAATAAAAAAAATAATAAAAATAAAAATTTGCTTTCTGTGGACCACTGTTTGCATGAGAATCAACTTTTCACACAAAGAAAAGACAAACAAATCTAAAACTCCCACAGTATATGAGATCACAGTCCTTCCCTTTATAAATTTAGAAAACCCAGGAATGTAAAATAAACCATAAATAGGCCTATTTCTCGGAACCAAAATGAAGGGGGGTATTCACAAAATTACTCATAATCGAAAGCAAGAAGTGGAGGGGGGGGGGGGGAGTCACCCTACTACGATCTTCACCTTCCCCCCCATCACACCCCCTAAGACGAGAGGGCTTAGTCCTCCCCCCGCAGCAGCAGAAGGAGGAGGAGGAGGCAAGGAGGAGGCGCCCACCTGAGGGATAATGGTGAGGGAAGTGCTGCTGGCCAGAGAGTCCCACCACTTCGTCCTCCTCGTCCTCGTCATCGTCCTCGCTGATCTCGCCCTCCTCGTGCTCGCTCTCCACTTCCTCTGCGTCCGACACCACTTCTAGCACTTTCACGTCCTCGTCCATGGTGTTCGTGGCGTCCAGCATGAGTGCGCGGGTCGGAAGTGGCGCTACGTCGTCGTTCCTTCGGCCATTCGCCTCCGTCTGCTCGCCCCGACACTAACACCTGCGCAAGTCGGGCGGGTTCTCTCGCGGATTCTTGCTCTCAAGCTGGTTTGGGTTTCGTGACGTCATGATGGGTTCGTGACGTCATGAGCAACCTTTAATGGGAGGATAAGTGCAAGGGTATGGTTAGGGGTTTGGTTTTTTATTTAAATTACATGAATGTTTTTTATAGGTATTATTTTTTTCAAGTATTCTTAAAGGAAACAAGTTGGGGAGATAGTGAAGGAATGACCAACCTGACGATAAGCTTACATCATCATGACGTCATGATTTCAAATCAACTTGGACAATGGAACGCGAAAATTCGCCTCTGCGCAAGTTAAAGTTGGTCACATTGGCACTGATAATTGCAACTGTTGCGAAAACCAAAATCCTGTAACTTCAGCTAGCTTTAACGCTTTCTTGCAGTATTAAGGGCAGATTTATAATGACCACTTGGAATAAATTTTATGTAAAAACCAATTTCTATATTTCTAGTGGCGAACTACTTTCAGTCACAATATAACACAGAACTCAACAGGTTTGCTCTTGGACCACGTAATTGCAATTAATAATTATGCAAACAAGTTAATATAGCAGCTTTCGAACCACTTTCATCAATGATAGAATGCAGAAGGCAAAAAAAATGACTCGTAAAGAAAGGAGGAGTAAGTGAATGAAACTCATCTTAAAAGGGGCCTATCGCGCCAGAACAAATTACACACATACGTTATACTGTACAAAATCTACTTTCATAGCTCTTAGCACTGTGTACAAGGTCCTCTGCGCACCGTGTACATCCTATTACTCTTGCGCGCGAAGTTTAAAAAAAAAAATCTGCGACCGAGAACGTAACCATTGAGAATTATATAAAGAAAAGAAAAAAGAAAGAAGAAAGAAAATAGATCCAGGGGATATAGACTAAACAATAGTCTAAAACCCTATGAAAGAAGAAAGAAGAAGAAGTAACCATTGAGGGTCTTTTTTGCCGTAATTCTTCAGTCTACCATCTCTCCCAGGCCCTCCACCTTCTCTCCTCCTCCTGGGCAGAGAGAATTGATTGATTGATTATTATTAAAAAAAAGAAAGAAAGAAAAGAAAAGAAAAGGAAAGAAATGAAAAGAAAAGACAAGAAGACGAAGAAGAAGAAGAAAGATGGTAGGCTCGACGATGGTTTACAGGACGAGAGCAAGCAGTTGGTTTTGGAGGAAGAGCTTGGGCATTAGCCCTAGAGGACGAGGGAGCTTGAGCAGTTCTTGAGGCTGGGGGGGGAAAGGCCTCAAGAATTTTTTATGCCAGGTTAGTTTTGGTTTGTTAGTTTGTTTGTTTTTTGTACTGTTTATTAACATCCCACCTGACATGCCCTTGTCCTATATACCCCAGTTTAAAGGGCTCGTCACATGAAGAGAAACGGTCTCCCTATCGTGTACTAGGAGTGAGCCACTTAATCTGTACTCTGAACCCAAAGTCTAATGATGAGATTCGGTGGGAATATTGCATAAAATGGTAATTGTTAACAAAATGGTTTCAACCTTCTGACTTGTCACTCTGATGCCCCCCTCCCCCCCTCTCCCCCACCTTATCACTGTGGATTTAGTTTCTGTGCTACATTTGGCACAATCCATTTTCTTTATTATTAACCCATTCGCGATAGGCATGTCATGTATCCGTGACATGCACACGGTGAGTTTTCTTGTTTAATTGTTTTTACGTTTAGAAGCCTACACTTGTACTAAAACACCAATGAGCCAATTACGAGTACTGCCTGTCTCACCCGTTTACCCTTTTCTTTAATTTACGAAAATATTTTACGTTATCTTATTTTGCTATTTCTATTGTTTATAACATTATAGTAATTATAATATTTATAATAAAAATAACACCATCGAGATTCATAGCCCTAGTAAAAAATACATTTTCCCGCTAATTCAAGGAAAGGTGAAATCTGGTAAAGCAAACCCATCTATGTGTAGAGACATTTCACAAAAAAATATAAAAAAATGAGCACAGCATTTTCCCCGTTTTTTGTTCATTTTCCCCGTCATGAATGGGTTAACATTATTCCTTCTGTTGGTAAAAGATTTTTTCCCTTTCTTTGTGATAGTGTACTTAGATTTTCCCTAACTTAGTGTAGTCATTATGTAAATATATATCAAGAATTCTCCTTTTTTTTCAAGAGTCTGCTGTTTTATTCAAATATAATTATTATTGGGTAAGTAGGGGCACATACAGCATCTGAAATCAATATAAAGGTCATAATAAAGGACAAGATAGTATACCTGGGCCTTGTCAGAATTCCTCTGGTTTTGGATTACATGTTATTATCCTTTACTATGATCTCGTGAAAAGCTGCATCTGCATGAGCCTGTCATATTACAGCTAATTATATTTTGTTAAAACAACAAAAACTTTTATGTTAGTATTTTTTGTAATGATACTAAATCTTTGGCTTTGCCCTTTGTGAACACAATAATCTAGGGATGTCAGATTCATGGCCTGTGGGCCAAATAGCCCACAGGATAGTCACTGGCCTACAGAGTGACAAGAATAATAATTATGAACACCACAATAGGAATTTAAAATCTAATAAATGGAAAAAAATACTTACAGGTAAGTAACTGAATTCTTATCTGCTCTCAAGATGGAAGCTGAAATGGAAAGTGGCCCATGAAGGGTTTGAGTTTGACACAAATAGATTGATTAACTAGCAAATTTAGAACCTAGATATTATTTATTTGTCAAACATATTAATATAGTCTGAATCCCAAAATAGTTGGTCTGTATTTGTGGAAATTTTATATCCCAGATGAAGACTGTTCTTTCAAACATACTAGAGATATTGGAAAAAGAAGTTATATGTAGTATAACTTTTACCCTATATATATTAAAAGTGAATAGAGTGAGGTGTAGAATAAGCATTTGAACTACGTAAATAATATTAAATGTATTTTTGTTCCATTGTATATTTTGTACAAAAGAAAATTTCAGTAGTCTGTTGCAGTAATTTTTATGACTTCAAAGATACAGTATCTATCATTAGTTGATGTTCACCTGTGTAACAATGTATGGTAATGTATACATCACAGGACCATTTTATTATGAGTATGTCATTATTTTTTAAGCTCTATTTTACATACTACTAAGAGAGGCACAGTCAAGAGGATTTTACTCTTGCTGGAATTACCCATATTGCCTGGGCACTTTGTAAAAAGAATTCTGATTGAGATGGCAACCATCTCAGGATCAGAGTGCTGTGATTATAAGATTCAGTTTTTCCATTGTTCTCTTGGTCCTGAATACAAGTTTTTGTATGTGGATGTAAGAACAAAATGGGCAAGTAAGTGAAATTACAGTATGGAACAAGTGCTGATGGCTATGGCATACTGAAACAGACATATTAACATAAGCATGTGTCTTAGTTAGGAATGATTTTCCACTCAAGCAATTCTTGATGAAACCCTAGCTAGGACAGCCTAGACAAATGTCAGCTCTCACATACAAGAAAAAACTCAGACATTGCATTTGGTATTTTGACAAGTCAGTTTTATCAAGGACATTGGTGCAGTGGTTCTTGAGGTTGCTTACAGAACCTGAATACAGCAGATATTAGACCAACTAACAGTCTATCTACTTGAGGTGTGGGATACATCTCAGGCACACTTCAGCAATGATGCAGCAGTTCCTTGGCATGACCAGGCACTTCTTCAGTGGTGAAGGACTCCCTTTTTTAATGGTTCCCTCATACCGAGTCCTTGTCCATTGTCTGTCTATGATTATATATGTATTTTGGCTTTATTAATATTCATGACTATTATGGTAGCATATAATTGGTTTCGTTTTGTGAAAATTAGAAACCATTTCTTTCATATTATTAGGCATTATTATTGGGATATATAAGTGCTTGATTTCTTGTGTATTATATTTATTGTATGAAATATGATTCTACCTTTATGGGAATTAGAAAACATTCTTATATGCTTATAATACTGTTTTCTATGCATAGTATCATAGTATACTTATGCTTTATGATTAAGATTTATCATTACTAGATTTAATTTTATATTTAGTTTTGTTGTATGCAGTATTTTTATTTTATTTACCTAGTTTGTCTGCATATTGCATAGCTTGAGGCTTTATTATTGATATTTATGATTACATTAATATGTGCACTGTTACTTTCTCATGGTGGAAATTGGAAAATATTTTGTTACATCTTTGAACTTCTTACTACATGTTACAAGACATATACTTAATATGTACATTATTATTGTGCCGGATGGTAAATAAATTGATTTTCACAAAAAAAAATTATTATTTATTATTAAGATTTGTATTTATCAGTACTGACTTCTTTTCTTAGAAAATAATTCCTTGTTACTGTCTTAATGCAAGTGACTGAAATCAGATTAATAATGGCTCATTGTTCATATCTTTCTTAAAAGAAATCTCGAATTGCTGCTTTAGTTACAGTAATAGTCTCTCCCCCACACCCCGTGACCTTGGCAGACTCCTCACGGACACCTGCACTAGTTCACACTACAATCAAGACATTTCCTCCACCAAGTTTAGAATAGAAGTAGTATAAAAGTTACTGCTGTGGTGTTATCTACTATTCCCTGATACTCTTGGCAAGAATGCCGTCACTTCACTGATAATAAAATAATCCAGTGACAACAGATATTAGCAAACACCAGTTCTGAAAAATTTAAGTCCTTATCTGTCAATAAAGATTTTTTTTGTCATTCACTCCACAAGTCACTCTTTGTCAGAACACGGCTGTTAGTTCCGTATCATATTCCTCCTCCCTCTCTCCCTCTTCCCTACCATTCCCTAGAGCTCACCTCTTGCGTTTTTTTTTTTTTTTTTTTCATGAGCTCTCCCAGTTTCACCTCCCCCCCCCCCACTCCTTCCCGAACACGGTGCCCGCTTACCCCCCACCCCGACGCCCGAGATGTCAGGCACAGGGAAATTAAGTGATCACTGTATTGTTTTCTTGAATGTTATTCCAAATCGGCTAGGACCGTTTCGGTAAAGGGAGTTAAGGATTGCTTGTTCATTCTCCCTTCCCCTACCCCTCCGCCAATCTCATTCCACTCTTCTTACTCTTATTCTTCTTATTCCACACCACCTTCTGCCCGGCTCTCATCGCCCCCCTTCTTTTCTCCTTTTTTCTATCCCCTCTTCCCTATCCTTCTCCCCGCCTCTTTCAGGGCGGGAGTAGGTCATTTTCATCAATGCATTCCCCCCCCCCCCTCTCTCTCTCTCTCTCTCTCTCTCTCTCTCTCTCTCTCTCTCTCTCTCTCTCTCTCTCTCTCTCTCTCTCTCTCTCTCTCTCTCTCTCTCCCTCTCTCTCTCAGCTGGAGGGAGAGGAGGGGGTGAATTGGGTGATCGGGGAAGGGGGGGGGGGGTGATTGGCAAGAAGTGCATGCGCTTGGGAAGTGAATGAAGTTCGGTTACGATGGTTTATAGGATGTGTAACGCCTTCAGAATTTGTTTACTTGGTCGCTCCCCCTAATCTCGGAGGCACTGACGCCATACCGTGTTACGCAAAAGATAAAGATTAAAAAAAAAAAAAAAAAGAAGAAAAAAAAAAAAAAAAAGAAAATGGAAGGAGCTGGCGCGGGGTAGGTGTGTTGTGTCGCATGTAATTGCAGCGCAGACATCACTCCGAATGATTCATACTCCCTTCAAGAGGAAAAAAAAAAATGACGTCATCTTTCCCGGTGGTCTTTTTGCAGTGGTTGTACAGAATGAGTGTGTATATAGGATTTAACTTGAGAGTAATTCTGATGAATTTTACCTCTTTCACCCTCCCTCCCTGATTCTCCTCCTCCCCCTTTCTAATTATTTGCTAATTGTTCTTATGTTCCAATCATTTCTTTCAAGGGGAAGCTTAAACGGGAAGATGAGTGGCCATCGCCGCGTTTTTTCTTTCTTTCTTTTTTTAGTGTCTGTGCGCGCGCGCGCGCGCGTGCGTGTTCATCGTTTATCTCACCAGGGTTCACGTGCTACCCGCAGAGCAACAGATAAGCAGGCCTGCGGCCTCACATCTCTTTTCTACTACTGCCACACAAATAACAGTATTAACTTATTAATTTATTTTTGTTATAATAACACTGGCTTCTGCATATCAAGCCGTCTGCCCAACAGAGCAGTGGATGCGACATCCGCAGGACTTCCGCCTTTTGACGTCGCCCCGTGTACACGGTCGCATCCTTTACCTTCCTCTTCCTAGTACATCACAACCTTTGTGAATTCCGAGTTGACCTGTTGTAAAGAGGGTCGCCTGTGAACGACAGGCAGACAGCCTACAGCACGCTGACCGGGCCGAATCTCTACCCGTCAGTTGTATCATTCTCTCTGCCCAGTAAACTACTGCAAGTGAACGAGAAGCCTGTTACACCATCACCTACCCAAGATTTTCGTATCGTCCCAGACGCAACTTGTCTGCACTCTACCGCTCATCGGCCGCGCACGTGTGCCTCTGCCTGTGTGTGGGCGATCGGGTGTCTCTTGACGACATTGAGTCGTTTACATACATGCGGGTGTGAACCTAAAGCCTTTGCCGATGTCCTGTAGGGGTCGAAGGGCAGGATCTGCATGACGAACACTAACTCAGTTATTAAATTCTCGCCTGCCTCCCCACCCCCCCCTGCCGAAACCGGGGGCCCTCGCTGGATGATGGGTAGGGAAGGGAAGGTATAGTGGACCTGTTCACGTAATCTCGGTGCAACATACCAAAAAAGAAATATGCTTCCGCTGTCCTCCGCCGACTCCAATGGGTCTACAACTGTGACATTGACGAAGAGACTTTAGGACACGCTAATTCTACCCTTGTTGTTCGTCAGCAATTCCCATGCTGCTTTTCTGATGTATTTATGTATAACTATGTCTTGTTTATACTCAAAATGTTCGTTAGAAAATGCTTATTCTGAATCACTAAGTATGCAGTATGCAGTATCGATATTCAAATGTCTTTAAGGCTTATGAATACTTATCACGAAGCTTTTTTAATCTTGCAAACACCACAACTCTCTTCTCACATACAGCTGTATACAAGGTACCGCTTGTTTCTTCACCACGAAGCCATCATGTTACCATATGTATCTGAATTTCTGTTCATTTCATTTTTTCATGTTTTCCATTATGAAATGTTTCAAAACGAAATTTGTTCTTAATAATTTCTGAGCAGTCGACACAGACCGCTCGCTATCGAGGGCATGGCAAGACGCCTCGCTCCTACCAGGGCATCTCAGCCTACCATACTCCTGAAGTAAAAAAAAAAAAAAAAAAAAAAAAAAATACATTATTACATTGACGGCAGTCTAGTGGGATAAACTTTCCATGCATTACTACAGAGGGGAATATAGAGAAAGGTGAAAAGATGAACAGTTTGAAAGAGCAAGAGAAAAGAAAGAAAGGGAAAGAGAAAAGAAAAGGGGGAAGGAGAAGGGAAAGGACGAGGCAAGAAGAGGATTGGGAACTCGAAAATGAAAATAAATGGCCATGAACACGGTAGCTTTGCCCGATGAAACATGGCTGCAAGCGGATAGTGAGCGAATGATCATGACAGTGATAATGACGGCATTACCTATAAATTCAAGTTCGTTAAGACTTAAGAATTAATAACCGTCCTTAAGAGTGACTGGGAAACGCAAGCAAATTGATGGATCGATAA